AGGTGCTTTGCTGACTTCGTTCGAAGCTATAGAGCATTTTAAGTTTTGCAAAAAACGTGGAGCATAAAATTTTTGAAAAGGGTATAAAAATAGCCTAAAAATATGGCATATTTTTTAACTCAAAATTTCATAGGTGCTCTGCAGCATTCTTTGGTATCATAATTATTACTAGGTTCACTAACAAAATCTGTTTCTAGATTATTTTAACACTTGCTGCGATTACAAAAAATGTCTATATGTCAAAATTAGAAAAAAAATATTTATAGGAATAAAGGGCCTTATACACTGTTTATTATATGTAATATAAAAACAAAAAAGCATAATAAATATTACAAACCTTGACATGCAGCATATCCTAAGTATATTGTGCACTAAAAATTTCATTTTTGTTAATTACAACAACCTCATCAGAAGGTTTTTGCCGTACTTTATGTTTAGGTGTAATTTGTCTCCTTCTCTCTTATGGAAAAAGAAATTATCCCCATATTCTTGCTTGGCAGATCTAAAAATAAAACCGGAGAAATATGTTTTACTTGCTCCATATAAACTGTAACTACCTACTATTAAAACAAAGTCTTACCTTTCTGAATTTTGTAAACTGAGTATTGTTAAAAAATGCAGTAATCATCTCGGTAATCATATTTTCGTTTACAATGGGTAAAACACTTGATTCAACTTTTATAAATCCAGCTGATTTTCATATTAATAATAAAATTAAACCAAAACAAAAAACTAAGGTTAGGTGGTGTCAATTTTAATGTCACTTAGATGTGCGTTCACTTCGACATTCTGTTTGTCGGTTTGTTCGTTGGCTTGGTTTTGTATAACAAAAAAAACTTCGACACAAGATGATTGGTCTATTCCCGATGACGTATAATTTCAAATTTTAAATTTCAATTGGGCTTAATTTAAAAACTTTTGGCTTTTTTAACGAACTGACTATTTAGAATAACTTGTATAGCGACTAACTATTACAATATAATTTATAAAACAGCATATCTCACATGTGAACATGGCCCATTATCAGCTGCTCCTTACAACCTTGAGAGTTTTTGCGACATCCTTTTTGTTGTTCGGCAAGTATGTGGTTAGTCTCGCAATGCTTGTATATAGCTTCACTTATGCAGGCTGTCAATAGTTTGTATATAGTAGGGAGACATGTTATTGGTCGATAATTTGCGGGATTTTCAGTGTGCTCATTTTTGGGTAGTAAATATGTAATTCCTTGAGTCATAAATTTAGGCATTTTCTCTGGATTTTCAATAAAGATGTTAAGGTATTTGGTTAGTTCTTTGTGAATGTTTGTAAGTTTTTTTAACCAAAAATTGTGTATTCTGTCATTTCCAGGCGCTTTCCAGTTATGCGTCACTGATATTTTTGCAGTTAACTCTTTTGTAGTGATGTAATTGTAATCCATGTTGGTGATCCTTTGCATTTTAATTTGTTCCTCGTGTATCCAACTTGCTGTAGTTTTGTGACTTTTGTTATCTGCCCATAAACTTGACCAGTAATTTTCGACGTCCAACTGTGAGGGTCCTTTAGTCTGCACCATAGGATTTTGGGTTTGTAATAATCTGTAAAATTTACCCTCGCTTGTTTGAAATAAAGAGTTTTCTTCTTTTCTCCTTTTACACTCAGTGTAACGTCGCAGTCTTTTCGCATGAACTACTAGTTTTTGCTTTAAAGTGTCTAAAAATTATTATTATTATTATTATTATTATTATTATTATTATTATTATTATTATTATTATTATTATTATTATTATTATTATTATTATTATTATTATTATTATTATTATTATTATTATTATTATTATTATTATTATTATTATTATTATTATTATTATTATTATTATTATTATTATTATTATTATTATTATTATTATTATTATTATTATTATTATTATTATTATTATTATTATTATTATTATTATTATTATTATTATTATTATTATTATTATTATTATTATTATTATTATTATTATTATTATTATTATTATTATTATTATTATTATTATTATTATTATTATTATTATTATTATTATTATTATTATTATTATTATTATTATTATTATTATTATTATTATTATTATTATTATTATTATTATTATTATTATTATTATTATTATATAATTGGCCGCCAGGCGCGAGTGGCGCGATGCGATGCGTTGAGATGATGATTCACAGGCACAGAGTCGGTGCAACTTTATGAAAGTAAAAGTGGAGATTTGAAAGTGCGAGTGCGAATATATAAATTTTATTGTAATTGTACCTATTAATATTAAAATAATATTGTAATATAATTACTAGTGCTCTGCCTGCGAACCGCCCTATTACGATTTGACGCCCAAATAGCACCCATGTACCCGACTAGAGGGGGGTAGCCGGGACTAATTCCCGGGGCCAGGGCTCAAATGGGGGCCCGGCAGCGCTATAAGGGGGGGCCCGATAATAGGTTTTTCTGTTTTTGCATGAGAAATTCGACATAAGCAGTAATTGAAGTAGGGAGAATTTTTTTTTTTTCGAGGTAAGGACCTTTTTTTTTGTTTTTTTTTTTTTTTTTAGAAGACGAAAAGTAGTTTTTGGTTAAGATTTTTTGTCACAGGGCCCGATGTAGAGAATTGTCCCGGCCTGGCTCTCGGCGGCCCTGCCCATGTAAAACCGGCACTGAATACACAAAATGCAAAACTCCATTTGTGTAATATGCAGCAGGCGCCCTGAATTTGAAAATACCAATTGTGGTTCTCCTTAATGGTATTGTCCTTCCCAAAAATATTATTTTTCTACTGCTTAATTCTTCATCTACAGTCCACACTCTAGCTCCATATAGAGTTTTGTTTTAAACTTCATCTGGACTGGCAGCAACATAATCAAATTCCGAATCAATAAAAAGTCCACATTTAAATACTTTTTCTTGCAAACAAATTTCAGAATCTTTTTGCTCTAGATTTATTGTCTACGCCATATTGGGTGGCTTTAACGAAAAATAAAAGATTTTATGAGATTTTTTTAAAGAATACGTTTCGTTTTTTTTATGTCTCCAAATTTTGAAGTAGTGACACGTTTTCGTCTTTTATTGCGCCACAATGCACAATCAGCTTGATCTCGTGTCACATTAATTTTTTTCAAAGAGTGCGAAAGCAAGAAAAATTATTTACTTAGTTCAAAAAATATACATTACTTTAACAGATTAAAGAGTTGTTAACATGCTGGAATTATTTATTCTTAACTCGAAGATGTATTCATTAAAAAAAACTCCCGTGTAATATAAAAGCTAATTTATAATTCACATCTCACTGTATACCTTTTAATTTCAAATATATTTTTTTAATAAATAAATTATTAAATTAATTTAAAATAATTGAGCTAAATTACTGTATGTAAAAAATAATAAAGTTTACAGACATAAAACAAAATAAATTGAAATTACTTGCGTACTGTTTATCACTTATAAATAGTAGAAAAGGATATACATTTTGTTGGTGTCACCCTCTAGACGAAAAAGCTTATTTTTTTATTGTAAGAAAAATAAATGCTCTTGTAGGTAAAAAATTAAATATATTGTTACCTATCATTTTTATTTGTAAGTATCTCTTTTCGTTAGAAAGACATCTTTTTAGATTTTTTTAAAGGAAACCGATTCAAATTTTTAAAAAGTAACTTCAGACGGGTACGGGTTGAGCCTTTTCCTGTACTTACATAATTTTTCTTGTACTAAAAATAAAAAATAATCCGTAAATTTGGTGTACTATGAAACCCTTGCATATTATATGTGTTGATCTTAGTATTAAGGAAATGATTCACGTAAAATAATAAGGGAACAAATACGTAAAATTTATTTATCCTTTGTAAAACATCAGTAAAATATATTATAAATTGTTTCCATTTACAAATTAATTTCTTTAAAAATCTAACAGAGACGCCACTTTTCAGACGAAAAATCTTTGAATGTAAGGGTTTCGTAGTACCCCGATTTTAAAGTTAGGTAATTTTTGATTATTTTTAAAAGAAAAAATATGTACGTGTAGGTAAAGAAAAAATCTATGCTCCTCTGGAATCACTTTTTTAAAATTCAATGTAGTTTTTTCTAAAAAAATAGAGAAAATAGGTAAAAAAAATTCGAGTTTTGTATTTTTTTTTTTTTTTTTTTTTTTAGAAAAAATAGTTTCAAATTTTGAAAAAGTGTCTCCAAAGAACCACAGAATAAACCTTTACCTACACGTACATATTTTTTTCTTTTAGAATAAGTAAAATATAAACTTTAAAAGTGTGGTACTACGAAACCCTTGCATGCTCTGTTTTAAAGCCAAGTAATTACTCCTCTTAATACAACATCCATAAATAAGGTCGGCCTTCACCCATCTGTTTAATGAATGAAAGTTTTTTTTATTAAATAAAATATGTTTATAAATATACAGCAAACGAGTTGCCTAAGAAAATGCGGTCACGGCCATTTTTTACTTTCCTTTCTGTATACAGATAAAGAAAGTATAGGAATCATGATAAAAGTGGCTTGTGATGTTATTCTCTATAATTTTGGTCTTATACATGATTTCCCTAAAATGGAGCTAATTCGGGATATTTGAGGAAAAGTGCAAATTTCGAATTTTGAAGATAACTCAAAAGCGGATGAAGAGAAAACACCAAATTTTAAACAAACTTGAATTCATCCTGCTGTGGGCTGATTAAAGTTTGAGTACAGTAAAAGCATCTGGGGATATTTTATAGGGTTTCATTTTTTTTTAATTATTAAAATAGTCATGACCGTATTTTCTTAGGCAACCTATTTGCGATATATTTATAAACATATTTTATTTAATAAAAAGAACCTTTCGTTCGTTAAACAGATGGGTCAACGACCTTACTTCGGATCTTAAACCATATGTTTTTGCATGTATAATGAATCAGTTGTTTCCCGTGGCCTAGTAGGTCCAAACTACTTTTTTATTGTAGCGATTAACTAGTTATGCAAATCGCGTTATATTTTTAATTTTTTACAGGTTGCACCACAGTTTAATGACGTATTTTTTACATGTAAATGGACACTTCTAAATGAGAGTTGCGAGAATTTATTTACTCCAATATTAACCGAAGAAGGGTTGTGCTTTACATTTAATATGTTGGATAGAACTGAACTCTTAAGAAAAAAAGTGTAAGTACTTGGAAGAAAAAATATAATATGAATAAAATATAAATAGGCTCAATACCATTAACCAGCGAGGTTCTCCAAACTACGTTAGGTTCGAGTAAACTCAGTCTTGGTTCTTTATGAACTGTAAGGAAATTTATCTGTCAACAATAATAACTCTACGATTTGTTACAATCGTGTTGAGGCATTTCTATAATAGCTTACTATAACTTATGTTCCCAGAGCATTTCTTGATAAGGTTTGGTTACTCTGATGACGTCATATGTTACCAAAGCATATGTAGCTGCATCTAACGAGTCATTTCTTTATAAGCTTACTAGAACATACTATAATAAAAAAATATTAAAATCAAAACATCCCAAAATTTCTAAAATTCAAATTCCGATTAGAAATCCCCAAACTTAAATTAAATTTGACATATGACATTCAATAATAGGGTTACTACGGTATGTGTAACGTCACCACAATAACCACAATACTGTAACTAAGTATGTTGTAGTAAGCTTATAAAGAAATTCCTTCTATTACTAAGCCTAAATGTTTACAGGATATTATGGATAGTTTAGCTTAGGATAGGTTAAAAATAAGTGGGATGATTAATGCTTAACAGTTCGCACATACGGAAGAGCATTTAAATCCAGCTTTTGTGATGTGGTATCACAACCACTGAAGACGTAGAAACAAGAAATTTTTTGCTTCTAATTTTCAAAACTATTTTAATTTCACAATTAATTTTGGAACAAATAAATGAAATAAAATATTGCATAACTCTTTTCAATTATTTAATTTAATAATCATAGAAAAAGTATAGTATTCTACTCTCGGGTAATGGCTTTTACTCGCCTGCGGCTCGTAGGGAAAACCTCATCCACGTGAGAAATAGTAGTCCGGCGGGTGGTAAAGTAGTTCGCGGGCGATAAAGGGACACTTTACGCCCACTAAACGTATTTATAATAAACTTATAAAAGTTTTTTAAAGTACCTCGTTCCATTGAATAGGGTTTTACTACAACTTTTATTGAAATAAAATAAATAAAACTCAAACCCAGCAAACAACTACTTCTTTGGCTGCTAGCACAACAGGTATTGAATTATATCCTAGGGAAAGACAGCATAGATAAAAATTAAATTTGCTTACATTTGCTCACATTTGAGTTGGAATTATTTTCCAATTTACAAATTGCCAATTTGGCTTTTTCATTCCACCTAGTTTTCTAACTGGGTACTACTAGTGGCCTTTGATTTTGTTTACTAGCAACAGATGACGGCACCATTTCATTACTGAATTCCTATTCTCTTCGTAACCAACATTATTGTATACTAGTGAATGTGTAGCATTTGTTAATTCCATTAGAGAATGGAACTGAGAAATCTATTTCTTGCTGAAGAGTACTAATAAGGACGAAACCGGTCCAAGAATGACGTTCTCCTTACTCAGCACGATCCAAGGTAGAGTGTTGAAATTTAATTTCTATCTCTGTTGTCTTTCCTTTGGATATAATTTTTTTTTTTTTTTTTTTTCGATTTATGGCCTAGGTGTATATACCTAATATGCCAGTCTCAAATTTATGTTTAAATTCTCAATCATGTGTGTTCTGTGTAGGCTTTGTTACTGTTTCCCAGCGCCACTTTAGGAACAGCACTGTTAATTAGAACCCAACAGTGAATGGTCGAGTGGGGAATCCTACCAAGGCATCAGAATTAATTTTAAATAATTGGATATAATTCAATACATGTTGTGGTATTAGCCAAAGGAGTAGTTGTTTTCTGAAGGGAAACGGGCTCGTATTATTGTGTGATACTGGCTTTGAGATTTATTTATTTTATTTTACGTATTGGGTCACATTTGAGTTGGAATTATTCCTTTTTTCTTTTTTACTTTTCTTAATTGTTTTTGTAACTTTATTATTAAAGGTAGTTTATTATTAGAACCAATTATTATAGGAGCTATCTGACTCATATTTGTCAAATATTGCTTTTAGATAAAGCAAAACTTGAAGATGAATGTCTAAAATTTATTTATCATTGCATGCGTTCTTCTGGGAAAACATTATATGTGTTGTAATCGTTTTATGTAGGCACCTACAAGGTGGCTATATGTCACATGGTTCTCATTCAGAAGGCTGGACATTAGAGGGAGGATACCCAAAACGTTCCAAAAAGGATACTTTCCCTCGAAGGGCAATGTCCGCTGGTTTTTCAGCTGGTCTATTTTTAGTTTTAAAAGCATATACACCAGATTTGGATTATATTTGCAGAGGCCCTGTTCAAGGATTTAAGGTAAATTGCCAAAATTCTACTTAAAATTTCTTTAAGAGCGATATCCATGCGACACCTAACAGCAAATTCAGGTTTAGAACACACTGACAACTTTCAGTGCATCTGAACGCACTTTGGCAACGTTGCTCTATTCCCAGACTTAGGTACACTTAGGTACGCTCCCTTCAATTTATTACTTATAAACTATAGATGATTTGAAATATAAAAAAGGCCGATAAATCGCAGGTCCCGTCTATCAAAGAGTATTTTTGTTTTGTTTTCTCGTTTAAAATATTTTTAAAGGTATAACCTGGTGTAACATTTTCGAAACTCTTTTTTCTAACTAAATAATTTATTTACGAAATATATTTTTAAATATACATATGTATATCCTATGATTATTTCGAAAAATGGCATTCTCGTACAAACGCCACTGGTGCAAGTAGAAATATTTGGAACACCCCAAAAAATACACATTTGTCCCTTCAAAGTTTTTTTGCAAATTTAAAGTAAATATCTTTAAAACTATTTGAAATATTTAATAAAGCTTAGTAAATTAAAATTTAAACATTCTATATCCCAAAAACGAAGCATATTTCGACCTACTTTTATAGGAACTTTTTTTAACAAAATAACTTTGATAACAATTTTCAAAAAATTTTCTTACTTATTTACAAATACCCTGTATAAAAATACGTTTTTTAAATAACAATTCATTTAATACTAGTTTGTGCAACAACCGTGGACAATCCACTGGAGTTGTACAGTATGTTTTTTCTACGACCCAATAACGAAAATCTACAAATGTAAAGTATTATTTTAGGAAAAGACAAAATAACTAATTTTAAATTAATTTATGACTTTACTAATTTGTGAAGTAAAATAAACATGAAAAAATATTTAATTTAATTAGTCCCCAGCCCAGATTTGAACTCGGGCCTCTCGCGTGAAAGGCAGATGGTATCCTCATTTTTACCTCCACATTTAGAATTTTAGTTCTAATAGTAGTAATTAAATTAGTTTTATATAGGTAGTTTGATTCAAATTTAAGATTTTTTAAAATGTAGTCCAAATAAAAATAAATTAAAATTATTTATGGATTCTACACAAAAATAACTCATTTTAATGTATATTTAATCTCAATACCTAAAAAATATACTGACAATTAGTTTGACAGAATTGTCACTTATTTAAAATTTTAAAAATAATAGTAGTTGGGTGTCCAATATATAAACTGTGATTGGTGGATTTCATTTTTTTTGTAGTGTTCTCACTACCTAGAATGGATATGAAATATATTCGTTGAGTTGAACGCAATAGTATATTTTTTCGTTTTGTAGTCTGTGCGTGAATAGTAGTTTGTGCAACAAAATTGGATATGATGGCCATATCGCACGAAGACGAAGTTTGAAAACGACGCCGTAGACGGAGTGCTTAATCATCGAGTGCGATACGGACAATCCACTCGAGTTGTACAGTATATTTTTTCTACGACACATTACTGAAATTCTACAAATTTAAAAAAGTATTTTATTAAGACAAAATAAATAATTTTAAAATAATGTATGACTTTTACTAATTTATAAAATAAAATAAACATACAAAAAGATTTAATTTAATTAGTTCCCAGCCTTGATTTGAACTCGGGCCTCTCGCTTGGAGACAAACTTCGTGTCCTCACGCCATCACCACACTTGCCATTTTAGTTCTAATACTTGTAATTAAATTAGTTTCATATGGTTTGATTAAAATTTAAAATTTGTTTTTAAATTTGGACGAAATAAAAATAGAAATGCTATTACTTATCGATTATACATAAGAAATATTCATTTTTACGTATATTTAATCTCAATAATTCAAAAATATACTGACACTTAGTTTGACAGAATTGTTACTTACATAAAATTTAAAAAATAATAGTAGCCGGGTGACCAAAATATAAACTGATTGGTGGATTTAACTGTTTTACAGTGTTCTTACTAAGTAGAATGGATATGAAATATATTCGTTCAGTTGAACGCAATGGAATACTTTTTTGTTTTGTAGTATGTGCGTAGATTAGCTAATATCCATGTGGGTATAGAAAAAATCATATCCATGTGGGTGTAGAAAATAGTAGTTTGTGTAACAAAAGTGAATATAAATTAAATGGATTTCATATAATTTTATTAAAATTTATAATTATTTATTTCTAAATATAAATCAAATAAAAATAGAAATGCTATTATTTATCAATTCTACACAAGTATAACTCATTTTACTCAATAGCATATTTTTTCGTTTTGTAGTCTGTACGTAGATAAACTAATATCCATTTAGTTGTAGAAAAAATTATTTTCTAGTACTAAAAATAAATAAAAATAACATTGAGTAAGATGATTTATTATTAGTAAAAGAAGAAATAAAAATAATCATTTTTATTGACTATTGGTCGGATTTCTACACGGTTTTCTACTCGAATTTCTACTCGGATTTCTACTCGGATTTCTACTCGGATTTCTACTCGGATTTCTACTCGGTTTTCTACTCGGATTTTTACTGGGATTTCTAATATCTAAACCTCTAGTGAAACGTGGATCTAAGATCTCGGGTAGTATACAATCTAAATAAAATTGCTTTAGTTTGCTTTCCATATACACCAAAATTTACCATCTTTTTTATTTTTTATACTAACATACCTAAAAATATTAAAAAAACAAATATTTTGTTTAGTTACGTAAAGTTGCCCCTGAACCTGGTAATATTAACAATTATGATTTCGGTTTAATTGAATTTTGCCATTATCATTAATAATTGCAAATTTTATTATGTTGCAAACCATTGCTTTTTCCGTAGTCATTTTTGAAGCAGGATATTTAATTTCGATAATACTGTCGGTTCCTAATAAACCGTCGGGACCTAAAAAACCAAATTCGGAATCCCCAAATAAATCACATTTATTGGACATCCTCTTTAAATTTGTGAATATTGCTTTAAAACTAAAGGTTCTTTTTCTATTCCATACTTAGTATATTAATTTCCCATATATTTTGACTTTTATGCTTAGAAGGGCAGGAACTGAACTGGACTAGAATAAGAGATGATAGTGTGTGTCTTTTTCTAAGTATACTTGCACGATATTTTATAGATTCTCGTCGAAATGGAAATACTATTTTCGGCATTTCCGAAAGTTTTCCCATTTTTACGACAAACTATTATAACTCAGCTTACACACAAGAGTTCATATAAACACATTAACTAAATACGAAAAGAAAACACCTACACTTGAACTAAAAAGAATAAAGTTTTTTAATAATTTCATCCTAAGCGACTTAAATGACTACCTAAATACTTTTATCCTAATTTTCCGGTACTGCATGCACCGCCAACGTCCGCCGCCTTGTTGCCAAATCAATTAATATGGATTTGAATCTTGACAGATTTTCTCAGATTTCGTAATTCAAGGTTTTCAACAAATATACGCTTTGGACAAAAAAGTGTATTGGAAAGAATTAGCTGATTTTTATACAACAATTCCCGGTAAAGAGTCCTTCTTGCAATAATTTTCATAATTTGTATAGAAATAATTAAAAAATAAGTTTTTCTGAATTCGGGCTCTACAGCGGGGTTCTCTATCATTTGCTTAGTAGGTATACCAAAGTTTATAAAAAAATATTTAATACTGAGAAAGAGAACCCTGAAGTCGTTTTAAGCCAGTTTCTAACCATGGATATCGCTCTTAATAGATCTATACACTATTAAAGTATTTTTACCTTCCTACCTTGTTTGTTATTTTTATGAATACATATTTTTGTTTATTGTGTATAATATGTAACCTTGTCATTATACTCTTCTTACAGTAGTCTGTGAAGAGTATACGCGTGTTTAGTGAAAAGGTCATAGCACTGGATGCCAACAAAGGAACCATACTGTCAACTATCATTAATGTCCATCAGAATAACACAGTGATCATTGAAATTATTAAAGCATAATTTTGAAGATGAAAGCAATTTAATTAACATATTAGAGCAAATGGACGGATGGGTAAGGTAATAACGTTTATATGTTTCTCTATCGATTTCATATGTTTTTCAGGAAAATATTTATTTGTCTTCGGTTAACGAGGTCCTGCCTTGTGTCCCTCGATATATGTCTCACCTGCTTCTTTTCTGGACGCACCCAGGCATTGATTCATCTTGTGAATATTAAATTATTTTCACTCTCAAAATCAGGAATAAGGTTAAGTTTCTCATATCGCTGAAATAGATTTTTTCCTGAAAAGAAGATAATGAAATTAATAGAATTACATGTAAAGGTCATCAGCCGTTTATATGCTTTTAATGTGTCAATTAATTAAATTATATCCCCTTCAAAAACCAGGGTTGGAGTAAGCTGAGTTAAAATTCTTCAAATTGGAGACGAATAAATATTTTCCTGAAAAAAAAATTATGAAATCGATAGAGAAACATATTAAACTTTATTACCTTGCCATCCATATGCTCTAATATGTTAAATAATTAAATTTCTTTCATTTTCAAAATAATGCTTTAATAATTTCAACGACCACTGTGTTATTCTTATGGACATTAATTACAGCTGACAGTATGGTTCCTTTGTTGCCATCCAGTGCTATGAGCTTCCTCAACCTGTGACGTGCACTAAATACGCGTATTATGCATTCGCTTCATCCGTCCGTCTTTCTGTCCGTCCGTCCGATGTCACGTTTTTTTCCGCACGATAAGTCAAAAACGAAAAACGGTATCAATTTTAAAATTTCAGGAAAAATCAAGCTATATAAGGGAACGAAGCCTATTGATTTAAAAAAAAAACTGAGTAAAAATGGGGAGGTCAAGGGGGTAGAAAAAGTAAAAAAATCCTAACTCAAAAACTAATAATGATATTAACCTAAACTGTTTAGCAAAAATCAAGCTCTATAACGTCAATTGATTTTGAAAAATCTAATTAAAAATGAGGGGTTAAGGGGGTTGAAATAAAAAAAATAAAAAAAAACGATATCGACCATGAAATTTTTAGTAAAAACC